CAGTCCTGCGCCCCCTCTACCCACTCACACTTCTCTTTCCTCCCCTTCCATAAAGGTGGGTCCCGTGGACATAACATCCCTTAGAAATGTCCCCCAAGCACCTCCAGCACAGTGAACCCCATATCCATGTCTACTTTCCTACGAACCCTGCAACACCACGTAACAGATAAAATGATAAAGCAGGGGACCCCTGGCTAACCTCACCACCTGGCATGGATCCTGGGGGCTGAGACAACTGAAGTATCAGAATCTTGCTAGGACCACCAAGGCTGACCTGGAAGTTGGGACTGGACTCTGCACTGTGACTCTAGGAAAGAAGGCTGATAAGACCCCCAGGGGAGCCCGGGAAGCCTGGCAATGCTGGGCTGGAGCTCCACCTCGCCTGAAAGCGAACTAGGTCCAGTCCGTTGGCGACTGCTTGGTATGCAGGTGACGGTAGGACATGGCACATGGACGGTGGCAGTAGCCACAGGAGAAACTTTATCTCAGTCTCTCCAATTCAAAGCCTCTGCTAAGGATGCCAGGGAAAAACAGAGGATCTGGGCATCTTAGCGAATGATGAGCTGCAGAGAGAGTGTCTTACAAGGGCAGCGCCTTCATGTTGGCCTTCTGTTTCTGTTGTGCAGACTCCATGTTAACTAACATCGTTTCCAGTAAGAGGCACAGGAAGAGTAATTCACACGATGGTTTGCAATCATCACCTTCTGTGCGATCTTTTGAAAAATTGCATTTGGAACGATTATGATTTTTTAATTGCATTTTAAAGGATTCCTTAGGGGTCGCGCTGATTCAACCTGGTGATGCCTACTGAACAATGATCAAACAAAACATTCTCTGAGACCAAATTGTCAAATGAGGCTTCAGATTGCACTCATTTACCATGTCATGGACCACAAACAAAAATGTATCATTTCGAAATGTTAATTAGCATATAATTTAAGGTTAGTAGGACTAGTGAGCGGAATTCCAAAGGAAGGAAAATGTGTAGGAGCTAAAACTGTATCAAAAAAAGGAAACTGGAGAATAACAATGCGGAAGATCAGCACTAAAATGCCCAGCGTGCTAAGAACCTTTCTTAGCAACAGTATTCACTTGTTTACATCTGGAGATATTTATTAAGAGGGTTTCTCCAAATTTGTAATCAAAATCCAAAGAGGAACTACAATAGCTTTTTATAGATAGTCCCTGAACATGAAACACGGATGAGACCCATCCATCCCGTGGGACATGGAACCATGGAATAGAATAATTTTTATATTTCTCTTTCTTGATGCTCTTTTTTTATTATTGATTTCAGAGACAGGAAGGGAGAGGGAGAGAGAGATAGAAACATCAATGATGAGAGAGAATCATTGATTGGCTGCCTACTGCACGCCCCACACTGGGGATCAAGCCTGAAACCTGGGCATGTGCCCTGACTTGGAATCAAACCATGACCTCCTGGTTCATAGGTTGATGCTCAACCACTGAGCAACACCAGCTGGACTTCTTTCTTTATATTCTTAAATATGTCCTTTTATCGTTAAAATATTTAAAAATTATACATCCATCTCAGCATTTTAAAGATGCTGTTTTCTGTGTTAGGTTTTTTGGTTTTGATTTTTGGTGGGGAGAGGTGGGTGGAGGCAGTGAAGTGGAAGAGGAGCTAGGTCTCCACAGCAGCCTACTGTCTTAACTGTAACATAAGTAAACAGAAGTAAAGACAAGGCAGAGACCAGAGACGGCACCCACCTTAGTTCTGGTGTGGGCCTGCCCACAGCCCGGCCAGAGCTACACGTGGGCAGAGGAGGTAGATTGGATTGTAAATTGCCACAATCAATGATGGAGAAAAATGAGATGACCCACAACAAATGATACCCAGTTGAGGTAATTCGGTTTGTCAATTGTGCTACTAATAAGCCTCCATTACAGTTTGATGTGTGAGGGGGAATCCAGCTTCATCTATAAGAGGATCAATCAATCCTAAAAGCCACCGTCTGTATCAGCTTTGGAGCACTAACCGACCCAGAGACGGGAGGACTAAAGGCTCGGGAACCCCCACCCCCAGGCCTGGCCTTTACCTGAAGTCATAAACAGATACGTAAGTGAGATGCCAGACGTGCTGAGCACAGTTAGCTGAGAGACCGGGCTCTAGGGAGCTAAGGGAACTGAATATGTTTGCCCGGCTGGCCTGGCTCTCAGAGGTCTGGCGACTCCCGGTTCCAGCCATGCCCATCACTGTCTGCGCTCCGTGGGGAATAGATGGATTCAGTTAAGCCGGTGGCTCTTCTCTCTGCCGTGCTGACGTGATCCACCTCCTCTAACACAAGCTCCCGCAGAGCCCAGGAAGAGCTGCAGCCACAACCCTGGCAGCTGCTTCCAGTTAGGGGGCTTTTCGAAGTGTTCACAGGAGGCACGTGTGTTGTTATGCTCTCCCCGCTTACTTACTTAGTCTGATGTGTTGTAAGAAAGAAACTCTGTGAAGTCCTTCTGCAGGTAGGAACCTATGTAATCAAATGTTTACTATTCTGCCGGGGTTCATGTCCCAGCATCAAGAAGGGTTCAGGAATCTGGAAAAGGCTGTGCGTAGATGACAAAGGAATCCAGGGACTAATAAAGAGTCCAGAGACGAGATATAATTTTGAAAGGCATTGGGGGTCAGAGGACCTTCAGCTAAAGGAACTGAAGACTTCCTCCTTGCCTAGGACCCTTGCTTTTATTAACACAATTTGTCCTAAGGCAAGGTGGAGATAATACACTTCAAAGGGTAAGGTTTCAAAGGGTACAGAAGCATTGTCAGTTTGGGAATAGCCTACGGCTGTTCAGGTGTTTGGCCAGTAGGAGGCAATAACATGTGATTAAGATGCCCTTTAACTGTCTGGCAGCCACAATCAGTTTCCTATTCAGTTTGGGGGAAATATGCCTTTAGCCATTCCCAGATGCAGGTGACTACATGTGTGACTCAACCCTGTTGAGTCCCCAAGTCTCATCAACCTTTTGATGAAACTCTTGAAATTATGGCATGCTGGCATTGGTCTCCGGCACTCATCTTCAGTGGAAATGTTTAGCAGCTTCACAGAGCAAACAGGGTGCTCTTTAGACAAGCAGCCGGTGTGCGTCATTCCTTTAATGCTCAAGGGGCTGTCCCTCCCCCCCCCAAATCCTGCCTCTTGCATCCTTACCCTGGGATCCCACAGTCACGTGGAGCGTAGTTGTTCTTGGTTCCTCTTTATCTACGACACAATCACTACCTCCAGCGAGCACCACGGAGCACAGGAGTCACAGATTACACACACTGCTCTCTCCTGCGCCTGTGCTGTGTGAGTCAGAAGTAGAAGCAAGTGGGAGCACAGCCACAATACGAGCGCCAGGCTGTGTGTGCGGCTGATTTGTACACAACTGACGATGATGATTGAGGGAGACACCTCTCCATACCAAAGCCATCCTTCTAGGGCAGGCAGCTCTCTGGAGGGGCTGGGGGCTGTGTGGGATGCATGGATGTCCGATAAAATCATCTCGGAAATAAGAGGCCTCCATCAGCCCTCCCTATGGAATGGGGCCGCCTTCTTGGAGTGGCAGATTCTGTGTCTTGTGGAGAGAAAGCACCTTACAAAGTGGCACGGGAACAGCCAGTCGTTGAAAGGCCCATGGCAAGACTACAGGCCAACGGCACTCTGTGCTCAAACCCTGGAATCGGCAACCCAGGGACCCCCCCCTTCCCCCCCCCCCCCCCCGCCCAGAAAGACGACCTAACACAGTACTGGCAGAGGAGAAGCCAGCTGTGGAGGGGCTTTGGAAATGTGGGGGTATTGTTTGTGGAGACCCTAAGAAAAAGAGGGGGTGCAGAAGGGAGCTTGGGGAGGTGCTTCCTGGAAACCCACGCCAGGCCAGTTAAAAACCAAAGGCGGGAAGCCCAGCGGGTGTCACTCAGTGGTTAAGCATCGACCTATGAACCAGGAGGTCGCGGTTCGATTCCCAACAATTCTCTCTCATCATTGATGTTTCCATCTCTCTCTCTGTCTCCCTTTCTCGCTGAAGTCAATATTTAATTAGAGGGAGTAGTAGGCCTTGTCCACAGCTGGACAAAGTCAATTTTTAAGGCAATCTGGATTATTCGTGAAGAAGGCCAGAGTGTCTTTGTCTCCAACGTCACCAGAGACATCAGGATGGGGAGGGGGGGTTCGGGGTGGAGCACGGGCTGAGTCCTGGGGGGTACCTGAAGCCCTGGGCGTGGCGCTCACCTCCCAGCTAGCCGCTCGCTGCGCCCCCTTCTGGCCACGCGGACAGCGCGCGCTCCAGCTCCTGTTCCCGGGGCTGACTCCATTTCAGCCCAGAGGGAGCCGGGGACAGGACCCTCTTTTTCCTGGTGTCACAAAACCTTACAGAAGGAGCCCCTCCGACCAGCGATAAAAGCTGATCCCCGAGTTTCGGCTTTTTCCTGCTCTCCAGGCTCTTCTCTGGAAATGACTGACTTAGTGACATGGGGGTAAAGGTGGGGACCGAGTGGCTAAACCCAAAGGTCCTCCCCGCCACGTTTCCAGTTTCCTGTTGGGGGTGGAGGGGTTGGCTTGGTGGTCCCCGCGCCAGCTCGGGTTTGGAGAGGGGTCGGTGTAGTGCCGCCCCCTCCCAACGACCACGAAGGTGAGGATGCGCGGCGGGAGGGCGCCTGGGTCTCGGGCTCCATCCCTTCCGCCCCGCCCCGCCCCGCCCCGCCTCTCCGGAGGTCCCGTGCGGCCGCGATTCTCCAGCAGGTGGCGCTGCGCTCGCTCTCATCCCGCGGCCGCGTCGGTTCCTGCGCCGGCGGCAGCGGGTTGCAGCCGGAGGCTGGAATTGAGTAGCGTCCGCTGGATCTGCGGCTTTCATGACGTCTCGCTGCGTGGTCCAGCACTTTTCCTCCAGCCGCGGGGTTTTTTTCCGCCCCTCTTGCCTTTCCCCTCTTCCCTCCACCCGGGCTCCCTCCCCCGCCTGTGCCCAGGCGCACACCCCCGCCCCGCCCCTGGCCCCCGCGCTCAGCCCCGCTCTCCGCTCGCGGCCGGAGGGAGCCAGCGAGCCGGCCGCACCTGGCCGGAGAGGGCGGGCGGCGGGCGGCGGGCGGGATCCGCGGGACCCGGGAAGCCAGACCCAGAGCCGGATGCACCGCGAGGAGGATGGAGTCTCTTGACAGCCTCCGGGGGCTGCTGTGACCTTTGACCATCTGATTCCAGATTTTTTTCCTGCTCTTCTTTTTATTTCCTCCCCTCGCCATCCACCCATCGTGCAGTCAATGACTGACTCTCGCTCCGTTCCGAGAGAGGAGACCATGATTGAGTGAAGCCACCCTGTCTGCAACCAGGTAAGCGGCGCGTGGACTTGCTCGAAGGCGAGGCGCTGGCATCCATGTGGGCAGGACGCTCCGTGCCCCGGGTCCCCTCTCTCCCTCCCCAGGCGCCGCTGCCGCTGCGGGCACCTCCGCGCGAGGAGCAGAAACGAGATGCCCAAGTCAGGGGAAGGGAGAAGCCGTTACATAACTAACAGAAGGGAAATCTGCTTCACACGGTTTTCATGAGCAACTGAAAACTCCCGGGAGGGGCGGGTGGAGAGGAGGGGTCTGCACTCACAGCCTCGCACAGCCGGGGCCAAGACCGAGGCGCGATTAACTGGCAGGCGCGCCGGCATGTAATCCTTGGGGAAAGCCCATTGTCTTTGTGGAAAGCTGAGAGAGAGAGAGAGAGAGAGAGAGAGAGAGAGAGAGAGAGAGAGAGAGAAGAGAGAATGAGGAGGAGGAAAAGGAAAAGGAAAAGTGGGGTTGGGGAGAAACGGCCAGAGAATGGAAACAATAACTCCCAACTGTTCCCCATCAGCATAACCAGAGGTGTGATATGATGGCTACAAGCTCTCTCTAAAAGTCAATGAATTATTGGGGGGGGGGGGGCGGGTGCGCCTGCAGATCAAATGAGATGTCATGGCATTAGGGAGTTGGGTGAGTCCGCTGCCTTGCTCTCTCCTGGGTATGTTTTTATTTGCACGGAGACTTGAGGTTGGGTTCGTTTGGACAGACATGGCATTAGGATTCCCAAACCCCAAGAAGCCTGGGGGCGAGCCACAGGTGCATCTCTGTGTCAGGCTCAACATGGAGAGACTGGGGGCGGAGGCGTATTTTAATAGGAACAGCCACACAGAAACGGGGTGAGGTTCATGGAGAACCAGAATACCAGAATTTTCCAAAGAATCCCGCCTCCACTCCTATAAAAGGAAGGGGTGGGGAGAACCTCGTGTTGGGGAGCTGGAGATTTATTGTATGTTTAGAGTGTCTCCTGCCTGTTTTTATCCAAAGTCAGGCGGTCCGAGGGAGCCCCCACAAAACAGGGTGCAATGCCAGCCACATCCCTGACAGCACCCTTACCCGCCTGCCTTTCCCCTGCTGAAACCCGGAGCACCGGGTGCCCAGGAGCTGCTGAGAGGAGAGGGGAGCTTGCTACAGTCCAGGCTGAGCTAACTAAGCTTCGCCCATTTTGCCTGGAGAGAGAGCTCGAGTCTCCATGGCGACTCAGGTGGGAGGGGAGAAGGCAGCTCCAGTTACCAAAAAAAAAAAGATTGGACAAAACTTTCCCAGCTCCAGGCAAAGAAGTAAACCAGCCGCGTGCCCTGCGGAGGGTCCTAGGGCACCGGCTCTTCCTAGCTTCCTTGCCGGCGACCCTCGAGGGGGCACCTGGAACGCAGCCGGTGCCCAGCGAACCTCCCAACGTGGCCCGGAGGCTGAGATGGTCAGGTCCCCGGTTCCGGTTTCAGCACCAAGGCCAGAGCACAGTGCCCGGTCCCACCTCTGCGGACTGCAGCCCCAGCCAGGGAAGTGTTAGCTTCTTAGGTGGAGAGCAGTCACTTTCTCCAAAGGACTGACTCCCTTGCCCGGGCAGAATCAGAAGAGCTGATCCTCTACGGGATTGCGTGGGACGGAGAGGCTGCAAATCATCCATTTCACGCATGGCGGTGCATCCGAGTAGCTATTCAAAACCAAAAACCCTGATACAGCCAGAGCTCCGAGATGAGCTGAGAATGAGAAAGATCCGGTCCTTAAGGGAGAAAAGGGACACAGGCACACACGCACGCGCACACACATGCACATACATGCACACACACGCACACACCAAAGATCAGTCCCTGAGGACAGTTTCCTCGGTTCAACCTTTGGCTTCAAAAGCATCCATTCATCCTTCACTCCCTGGCTCTCCTAACTCGAGGGGATGGGGGTGCACAGGGGTGCAGATAGTAGAAAGGCACTTGTGGGAACATCCTGGTCTGTGAGACACCAGCCAAGTCCTGTCTAGGGGTCCTGAGACCCCCTCAGGAGAGTGGAGACATAGTTCACTCTTAGTCGGGACCTGGCGGACTCCTGGGCAGTGCTGGTGAGCCCCAGGAAACGGAAGGTGTGTTAGTGAGATGCGACCAGGTGACTGTCTTCAAGCCAGTGTGTGAGCAGCGTGGCTAAGTGTATGAGGTTGTGGGCCTAGGAAACAGAGGGCAGGACTCCCTTTCCTTAATAGAAACAAGGAAGAAACTGCAAGAGGGGGCAGGTTATTATCACCCGGGGTCCATTTCCACCTCCTCCAGGGAGCACAGGTAAGTCCCTCTCGCATGCTGCCCTCACCTTGGGCAAGGCTGGTCTCTGCCCTGCTCTCCGCGTCTTTGGTAGTAGTTCCTGGTCCTCCCACCCCCCAAAGTGATGCTGATGAGGAAATTGGTAGGGAAGGTGACAGCCGCGTTTCGAGTAGGAAGTTGTTGCAAGTGGCATTGAGGTGTCACGGGCATGGTTTGAAGTGCAGAGCCCAGGCAAGGTCTAGCAGCTGGTTGGAGGTGCTAATGAAGCCTCCAGAATATGCTGGCTGCTTTTCTCTTTTGAGGATGCCCTTATGCGGTGTGGTCTTGAGCTGGTTCTGGCTGGTTGCTTTTGAAGGTAAACAAGACAGATCCTGGTTTTCCTTGCTGGCCGTGCCGCTGCTTTCCGACGACGATGTACGCAGAGCACCGGGGACCTGGTTAAAGCAGCGTGTTTATACCTTCTAGCCCTTTGCAGGGGAGGGAGGGTCTTTTTTTTTCATGGTGGCTAGTGAAGGCAGAAGCAAGCTAGCAATCTACTGCAAACCTGGGCGAAGGATGAGCTGTCACACTGCTTCTTCCATTTAGTGTCTGATGGGTGCAGGCAAGTTTATCTCTGGTTTAATGTATGAAAAGTGCTGCTCGAGAGAGGCGCTGCAGAGTGTTATGACTTAGAGCAGCTGGGCCCTGGCGTTGTTCCACCTGATACTGTCAGCAGCAGGGAAGTAGAGATCACTTAGGCAGACAAAGCCATGCGAGGATATGGGTTATTAAATAAACAAAGCAATGGTGAGTTCTAAAGTTCCGTTTCTCTGATGAATTAAAAAACAAAGACAAGAATGTAAATGATCTAGGATACGGCACTGCTCGATCAATAACCCTTCGTTCCGGTAGAGCACAGGCCCATGTGTTCAGTGCGAATTTACCAAACTGCGACTTGCTTTCTTCCTCGGCGGTTAATTGCTGAGCAAAGTGTCGGTATGTCCTTAGGACAGTCAATACACACTCCAAAGTCATTGTCTGCCCATTCCAGTCAGATCTGTTACGGAGAGCAACTTAAAATTTTTCCCTGTGCGCTCAGAGCCATTTTGTCTTTTTTTTTTTTTTTTTTTTTTTTTTTTTAGAAATGTGATACTGTGCCCTGGTATTTCATAAACACCAGTACATAACGTATCCTCTTGCACGGCCCAGGCCTTTACTTACTGCGTCGGCTGTTTCTGTGAACATACACAAGTGCTTGAATTTGCTCTCATGCTCCTTTCTGTCTTCTCACAAACTATCTCTGCTTTTCAGGATAAAAAGAAAGTAAGACATGAGAATAGCTGTTTAATAATCAATAAGAAAAAAATCATTGGAGATTAAAAATAAGTAAATGTAGCCTTACGGTAGCTTAACCCCATTCACTGGTTTTCACAAGTAGAAAGCATTACTTTCCTCAAGAGTAGAATGTCGATCATGTGAAGCTTCATGAAAACAAGATAAACCTTCTCAACCAACATGAGCAGGTGGGTAGGATGAAGTGCTTCTTCTTTTCACTAGTTTTTCCTTCATCAAATGATCTGTACGTTACATGTAGATTAATAAAGGAAATGTACCAGCAAGAGGCAGGCTAAGGGGAGGGCCGAAATTAGGGGAAAGCAGCTATTTATTTTTACCCATTTTAAATTGAGGATATTTTTCAAAGCAGGTCTTTTTTCTTTTAATTCATTGTATCAGAACTTGAAGGTTGGTGACATTGAGATGTTTAAATTGAACAAATTTGGATTTCTAGCTTGTTAAGGTGGCACTTATTATTTCTTTCCTTTATTTTCAACAATGTTATTTAGGTCCCAAGGAGAATTGGTTCGTCTGGAGTTTTACAAAATTATTAAATTTTATTCATTAATATCAATAAAAGGAGAATTGGTAGTTAAGTTCAAAAATCACTGAGACACTTTTGTTGAATTACGGCTTTATTTTTAGTTGTAGTTCAAGTGTTTAGGGGGATAGAAAAATAAAATGAAGCCATTTGGGATAAAAATATGTTTTAAATGTATTTTAAATAATTAGTTCTAGAAAGAATTAGGGTCCTGTGGAAAGAAGTTGTCATCATAATTGCAGTCCATGCTCTACTGGTATTCTGCCCCTCGTCTGAGAAAACACTATACACTCCACATATCGGTATCATTTGACTACCTCTAATTAATAACACAAAGTTATTTTCCTCAAATAAAGAAGAACCATGTCATCCTAAAAAGAATGTTCATATCCCCTAACCTGTAGCCTTGATCAGTCTCACATTTCACATTTCCTCTCCATGGCTGTGCTTAGGACCGGGGACCTACAGTACATCTATATCGTTCTGTAGTTCTTTTAGTGATTAGGTTTTGACTAGTATTCACCGGCCATACTCCCAGTCAAAGGAATGTGGTTTCTGCTATGAAAACTTTACAAAACGAGCCAGCGAATGAATCTATGGATAAAAAGACCCACGCCCTCGCCAACAGTTGTTTTGTGGGACTAAATCAGAGCATGTTCTGTGCAACATGAGAGACAGAGCTATAAACTCAGTTTGAATCCTGGCGCTATAGCAGTTTCCTCTGTAAACTTACAAGCATCCACTTTTTCCTGCCCAGAATGAGAATTGATTTTTTAAACGATGTTTTATATGTTTCTCATATCATCTAACAGGAATTTGTACAAGTGGAACATGAGCTCGGGAGATGTGGCCTGGTGATAAGAGCCCAGGCTCTGGTGTCTATACAAATGCATTAGCATTGA